AGGAGATTAATGAGGTCAGAACCATTTGTGAAATAGTTATTATTCACAAATAACAGCATTTGCCTGTCTCGTGTTGACATTTACACTGATGTTGGAAAAACAATGGTAGGTTAAATTGTGATGCTTTAGTATAAATCAAGTTCATGGCATCAACTAGTAATCATATTCTTCACTGCCACTACTCACATTAAAAAGGAAAAAAAAGACTTAGAAGTATCATCACTGATTTGGCAAAAATTATTAATTTTTGATGCTGAGTCAAGATTAACATCCCTGAGTTAAGATCTTGGGGCACCCTCTTACACTGTTGGTGGGAATGCAAGCTGGTACATCCACTCTGAAAAACAGAATGGATGTTCCTCAAGACGTTAAAAATAGAGCTACCCTATGACCCAGCCATTGCACTACTAGGTATTTACCCCAAAGATACAGATGTAGGGAAAAGAAGGGCACATGCACCCCAATGTTCATAGCAGCAATGTCCACAATAGCCAAACTGTGGAAGGAGCCGAGATGCCCTTCAACAGATGAATGGATAAAGAAGATGTGGTCCATATATACAATGGACTATTACTCAGCCATCAGAAAGGATGAATACCCAACTTTTACATTGACATGGATGGAACTGGAGGAGATTATGCTAAGTGAAAGAAGTCAAGCAGAGAAAGACAATTATCATATGGTTTCACTCATATGTGGAACATAAGGAACAGCGTGAAGGACCATAGGGGAAGAGAGGGAAAACTGAATGGGAAGAAATCAGAGAGGGAGACAAACCATGAGAGACTCTAGACTCTGGGAACTAAACTGAGGGTTACAGAAGGGGGGGGTTGGGGGAATGGGGTAACTGGGTGATGGGTATTAAGGAGGGCATGTGTGGTGATGAGCACTGGGTGTTATGCTCAACTAATGAATCGTTGAACACTACATCAAAAACTAATAATGGCTGGCTGGCTAATTGAACATAATAATAATTAAAAAATTAAATTAAATTTTAAAAAAAGATCTTGGGGCACCTGCCTGGCTCAGTTGGTAGGGCATGTGATTCTTGGTCTTGGGGGTTGTAAATTTGAGCCCCATGTTGGGTGTAGAGATTACTTAAAAATAATCTCTTAAAGGGGTGCCTGGGTGGCTCAGCTAGTTAAGCGGTTACCTTTGGCTCAGTTCATGATCCTGTGGTCCTGGGATTGAGTCCTGTGTCAGGCTCCCTGCTCAGTGGGGAGTCTGCTTGTCCCTTTCCCTCTCCCTCTGACCCTTCCCCTGCTCATGCTCTCTCTCTCTCTCTCAAATAAATAAAATCTTTAAAATCTTTTTTTTTAAATCTTTAAGAAAAGATTAACATCTTGACTCTTTAATAGTCTGTGTGATGAAATGGGAGGTAAACACAGAACAGGTCTTCTGTATACTGAAATTCAATGGTTGTCCTAAAGAAAAGCACTTGTTGGGGTGCCTGGATGGCTCAGTCATTAAATGTCTGCCTCTGGCTCTGGTCATGATCCCAGGGTCCTGGGATCGAGCCCCGCGTCGGGCTCCCTGCTTCTCTCTCTCCCACTCCCCCTGCTTGTGTTCCCTCTCTCGCTGTGTCTCTCTCTGTCAAATAAATAAATAAAAACTTAAAAAAAAAAAAAAAACTTGTAGGCATTCAGGTGGGCCTGGCAGGCTTAGTCAGGGGGAATGTGTTGAAGCCCCATACTGGGTATGGAAATTACTCAAATACATACATACATACACTTAAAAAAAAAGAATTATAGACATTCAAAGAAGGTACATAAGGAGATAGGATGTCACCTTGGAAAGGCCAATGGCCAGCTCCAGTAAATCTAGCAGATTTATCATGGACCATGTTCTGGCCCTCTTGGTGACTTAGAAATGCCTTAAAAATGTGACTTAGATCTAAGGAATATTGGCATTAAACAAGGCTATATAAACTCAAATATTATTTTATCAAGAATTATGACTTCCAAGAAGACTGTGCCTTCTTGTTTAAAAATATAGGTTTTATTATTCACATACGTTGAGGCCAACAGGAGACAGTTACGTTGAAAATATAGTTTGTTACTCACAGTTGCCAAGAGGAGGCAGGCACACCACCTTACACAGGGACAATGTGGGGAAGCACCAGTGTCTGCCTGGAGACGGAATGAGGGGAAAACTGGGTCAGTCAGACCCTTTATTATAGTTTCTGTAGGAGGGTGAGAGACAAGGTAAACAGGTTTAGGATTGGCTAGTTTGAATAATTTCAGTGGTTTCTGGGATGTGGGAGCTGTCACTGGTTGTTTGGTACCTGACCCTGGGGTGATCAGGACAGGGGGGTAGTGGCCCTGAGAGCCCTTTGAGTGCCTGATAAAGGAGATGGTTGGAGTACAGACTCTTGAGTTGGTTGGTTTGCATATGAAAGACGCATTCTGGGGCAAATTGTTTTCTATCCCTAGGAATTAGCTAACCCTGGGAGGGGTGGTCCCTCTAGTGTCAGCAAGGCCCCAAGATATCAAAGCATGAGAAAATACAAAAAACAAACAAACAAAAAAACACCAACAAAAAACCCCCATGATTAATACAGTTGTCACCACCCTGACAAGTTCATTCCTTCCTTTAAACAAGCTATACGGAAATCAAGTTACTAGAAGGCTACATAGTATTTAATCAGACTAAGCATAAGGTCCAGGTACTGGATAACTGCTGGGTGCATCTCTACCAAAGAATATGCCAGGCAGGTGTTCGTCACCTTCCTGGGCACTGCTTGAACGGGACACTGTCAGCACTTGTCTCTGTAACTCAGACTGCCCTATATCCTCCCCAGGATAACAGATGGGTGCATCTCTACCAAAGAATATGTCAGGCAGGTGTTCGTCACCTTCCTGGGCACTGCTTGAATGGGGCACTGTCAGCACTGTGTCTGTGACTCGGACTGCCCTATATCCTCCCCAGGATAACTGATGGGTGCATCTCTACCAAAGAATATGCCAGGCAGGTGTTCGTCACCTACCCTGGGCACTGCTTGAACGGGACACCATCAGCACCTGTGTCTGTGACTTGGACTGCCCTATACCCTCCCCAAGTTATCCTTGCTGTGCATCAGTATTAGCTGCACTCTTTGGAAATCCTAGCCACAAGTAAGTAAGAATGGTACCCGTAAAACTAATGCATGAAGTGTCATCATACATGTAAATTAAAGTTAAATCATACTTTTATGTTAAAATATAACACATATATACATATCTGACTCCTGGTGCCAACATATGTGACTTACCATTGGGAGCCCAGTGATATACTCCCCTTAATGGAGTGAAAAGTCCCGTAGGATGGTTTTACAACCTAAAGCAACCTTAGCCCCTAAAATCTTTTCAGGATTGAGAGAAGACTAAAAGCTCTTCCAAATATGGCCAACAAAGGTTTAGTCCTATTAAATATTTTTTGCATGTTGGTATTAGAATAGCAACAAAAATTATTCTGTTTTCTGTTTAGTCAAAGTAACATGTGGCACAATTTCTCTTGAGATTATGTTGAAATATTTATCATTACTATTTGAGATAAATAAAAATGATAATCAAAATAACATTTAAAATTTTTATTGATAGCATTTTATGAACTAATATATTTACATATTCCTCCAAACTGTATCCTTGCAACTTAAAGCCAAGCACTTTTCTCAATATTAAAACTTGTGAAAAGGGTTTAGCTACCTATAAACATCAGGTACAATTCTAAGTTCTGAATCAAAAACTATTTCTAATGTAATTTACATTAATGTTCTTTAAAACATTAAATGAAAAACCTCCAATTATTTTTTTTCAAATAAAAGCCACAAAAACGTTAAATAATTACCATGTACATTACAACTTGCTTATATCAAATTACCAAGAAAAGCATCATACCAATTGTTAGGATCTCCTCTACTAACAGAAGGCAAAGATATAAACTTGTATATGACAGTCATCAGATTAGTACACTCCAGTTTTATATAATTTGACTTATTCTTTGTTGTGAAACTGATAGGTTGAAATAAGGATTCTTTATATAAACACCACATTTTGAAATCATATAGATAATATAGTCATTTTGTAATGTTTTATAATAGTAACATGGTATTCATTTATTTTGTTAGAAGTTATTCACAGGTCCTAAATACTAGATGATTGGAATGTCACACTAAGGAAATTATCCTTATTATATAAATGTTTAATAATTATGTTAGAAATTAAGAATTATTATTTAATCTTTACCAAATATTTAGTGTACTTTGTTTCTATTCTGTAAGTTTCTATTGGCTTTCTTAATTTTAGCTAATCTAAGAGAATCTAATAATCAGTTTTTCTTTTCTAAAATGAAGCAAGCACATAGTCTCTATTTGTGATAAAGCCCTGGGGTTTTTTTTTTTTTTTTTGGTTGTCTGTAAGAAAGACAAGAATAATTTGATATAAGTAACAAGGAATGCTTTTAAACTTTTGCTTTATCTTGTTTTTGGGAACCTATAGATAGATCTCAGAAATAATAACAGGAGTTAAATGATATGAAGAAAGAATTCTATGAGATAATATTAAAGACAAAATAAAACCAAGCAAAAAACAACACACCAACACTTAGCATAGATTATTACTAGCTTGTAAAACTCTGATCTGTTATTTGACATTGATTAAGCTGACAACGTGAATATTAGCTGCCCAGTCTACTATAATGGTTGGCCTTTTACAATTTTAATTAGATTTCATATACTTGCAGTCAACATTTTTAAGAATTAGTTCATTCTTTCCTTATACCTTATACCTTATAGGCTATTGATCATAGGCCATTTCTGTTTTTTATTTTTTTATGCTTTTGGCATCATGGAAAATTACAATCTTATTTATTGACTTGTAATGTTAAAAACGTTTATTGAGTTGAATGCAGTGTTTCCTAATAAAATATCTGGGAAATCTGAAAAAAATTTTAAAGTCATCTCCAACATATTTGATCTTTTTTTTACTGATTTTTGTTTAAATTAAAAACTTGGACCACATGAAGGTTGTTAAATATTAGAAGTTTTGAGAAATATAGCTTTAATTTTGTTTGAATTTCCTTAGTAGGAACTACATGTTATTTGTATGTCCACAGTGCCTAGTACGATACACAGTATATTTTGATACCCCTAACAATTATGGACTAACCAATTACAAGATTTAAAAGGATTGACATTTGAGATTTCTTCTCTGTTTCTATATTTCTCTGATGTAGACATTTGAACAAATGTGCTTTCTAGCCATTTCTTAAAAATTTACTAATTGCTTAATTTGTTCTGTTTGCAATGATTGTCTCCTTAACAACATTTTTTTACTTTTGAATTCTTTAGGGAACATAGGAACTGTTGGCATAAGCACTTTTTGACCACAAGAAAGGAGGCTGGAAATCTTGTTATTGACATTGAGATCTGAGATGGGGGGGTGAGGATTCACATTTAAGGGTGGCAGAAATCCTGATCTGGCTTGAGTAATATTGTGATCTAAAGAGAAAGCTCCTGAACCACGCCTTTCTAAAAGTGCATGATTTCTCCTGCTCAAGGGACCTGGTGAGATATTCTCCAGCAATTCTTTGGGCCCTGACAACAGGGAAGGAGATGGCAAGAAGATCTTTTTCTTTCCTATAAGTGCTTTGCCATCTTCTAGAGTTGTAGGGGTAAGACCAGCCGAGAGCTGGGAATCAGAGCTATAGTGATTTGCCCCTGAGTTTCTTTTTTGAACTATACTTCTTAAGGTGGAAGCAAAGATTGTCTGGTTAGAGTCTGGATCTGGGTCAGCAGGGATTTCAATGCATTGCTGGCTTCCTTCTGAAAAAAATGACTGATGATTTATTTCATCGTATGACATCTTTCTTGAGCTGGACTGATCAAAGGCTCTTAGCAAATGTGCAGTGTCTTTTACATCAATACTTTGGTGCCTAGTGATGAATCGCTTGGAAAGTGCCAGCCCATTGGTTTTGTAGGATAATTCTTCCTCTGGAGTAATATCCTGGAGCTCCTCTTGCAAGGAGGCCACTCTGTTTTGGTGCATTAATAAGGGAGGACTCTTGATCCAGGTTGGAGCCTGGGGTAGCTTGGGCCCATTAGAGGCCATAGCAGGCTTCCTCATAGGGGAGCCTGGGTCCTGTGTATCATCACTACTTCCTGAGGGCTCTAGACCTTTAAAGCCAAAAAGTGTCATTTCAGTTTCAGAAGAATGTGAAAGTGGCAATGAGGCTGTTTTTATGTCTATTTCTGAAGGAGTGGCACAGGAGGCTGGGGAATGACACCCATCTATATCTACAGGAGGCATATTTAAGTACTGTTTGGTAGTGTGCCTACCAGAGGGTGATTTCGCGGTCGTTATGATAATGACCTCTTTCCCTTTTGCCTTGCAAGCGCTAAGTAGAAGTTTCAGGGTTTCACTATCCTCTGAATTTATAGCATAAACAAGGGCTGAATAACTAGAATGGTCTTGCAAGCTGAGATCAGCTCCACTGTTTAGGAGCAAGGAAACAACTTCAGGACCGGCTTTTTCTAAGCAAGCGTGCATCAGAGCAGTTTTCCCAGATTTGTCCTGTATGTTGGGATCAGCGTTGTTTTCTAACAGGTATTTAACCATTTTGGCTTTACTGACACTCTGGTGATCAACATGTTTGGTCTTACAAGCGATCATTAAAGGGGTTTCCCCACGGTCATTGCTCTCATTAATGTAGGCACCACCTTCTAGCAAGAGTCTTGTGAGGCGAAGCCGGCTCTGATGGACTGCTTTGATGAGGGAATTTCCATCACTTGAAATTTCTACACCTTCATCCATCTTCAAAAGTCAGAATTAATACCTGGTTATCAAAGAATATGAAGAACAAAAGATTAGACAGATCCCAATTTGTATTCATGTTATAATTCATAATTTCTAAAATATGTACGTATAGAGTAACAGGACATGAGATTATATTATTAATAAATATAGAACAAAATAGTGAACTGCAAACTTAAAGACATTTTAGAATAGTAACAGCTTTTAGGGAGTTACATACTAAAATTAACTTTCAAAATCTTCATTGAATATTTATGATATAATACCAACCCATTACTTCCCTAAATTCCACATTAATTAAACAACAATCCACTTACTTTCTACTTGTGAAAAATATTTTTAAAATAACACTAAAAATGTAGATTTAAGCAAAAATTCCAAAATTCTGTGTAATTGCAACTGAATCAATTAAAATATAGATATTTATGGCAGATAATCTAAAAATTTCTTAGTGTCAAATTACTTATATGTGCTCTTGAGTTAAATAATGCAACTATTAATCTAGATTTTCAACTTGAGGAACTTTTTTTTAAGATTTTATTTATTCATTTGAGAGAAAGAGAGAGCATGAGTGGAGGGGAGAGGCAGAGAGAGAAGCAGACCCCACTGAGCAGGGAGCCTGATGAGGGGCTTGATCCCAGGAACCTGAGATCATGACCTGAGCCAAAGGCAGACACTCAACCATCTAAGCCACCCAGGCGCCCCTTGAAGAACATTTCTATGTTTCTTTTAAAGGATAAAAAATCATTCAAACTACAAGACATTAAAATACCTGACACATTGTCTGGAACTCACACTGAGATGGGAATGGTGAATAGGTGATTATGCAGTTTCCTTGATTTCATTATTTAAATCAGACACTAGATTATGGATGGGGTTGGCCACATACTGTCTGGTTAAATTTGGACAGCAGTACATTTGTTCTGAAAAGGGAGTTTTCTAGGCTGGAAATGTGAATGATGACATGTAGCCTTTATTTATTTATTTATAAATTTTTTTTAAGATTTTATTTATTTATTTGACAGAGAGAGACACAGTGAGAGAGGGAACACAAGCAGGGGGAGTGGGAGAGGGAGAAGCAGGTTTCCTGCTGAGCAGAGAGCCTGATGCGGAGCTCGATCCCAGGACCCTGGGATCATGACCTTAGCCAAAGGTAGATGCTTAACGACTGAGCCACCCAGGTGCCCCGACATGTAGCCTTTATAAACATTTTATTTTTTATCTTTAAAACTAAAAATTATTTATGTTTAATTTATTTAAATAATTTAGATTCAAACCCCTTCAACAGATAATTCCATTAGTTGATAAGAATTATGTCTTTAGGGGTGTCTACGTTGGGTGTAGAGCTTATTAAAATAAAGAATTATGTCTTTATCTAGAGCTGAGGAAATGTTTGTCTTTGAAGAGTACTTAGAGCTGGGGAGAAAAATCAAATGGAGTTTATATAATATTTAAATCTATTTTATTTAATGAGGTAGGTTTCAGAAATGGAGAAGTATTATTTATTCCACTTATTTACTTTTAGATTAACAATATGGGACATGAATTTTTTTTACTGGAAAATAGAATAGATAATAAATATAATGACCTTTTAACAGACAGAAGAAGAGATGAAGGGAACAGAAGGAAAATGAAGGGGGGAAGAAAGACATGCACACAGAACTTAGAATTTAAGTATTAAACAGCTGCAAGCTCCTATTATGTCCTGGGCACTTAGCTACAAAGGCACATGCCCTAGCCCTGAAGAGCTTGCTCAGTTGTTTGGAAGAAACACTATATAAGCAGCTGGTTATGAGTTAAAGTCATGAGAATATACAGGTGGTATATTGGTGGCTTTGGTGGCTTGGGGACTGAGGGGCTTCACAGAGGCCAGCCATTTGAGCTGGGTCTTAAAGACTGCATAAGAGTCTGGTAGGCAGATAAAGTAGGAAGAGAGAAGTAGAGAATGTTCCTTGTGCAAAAACCTAGAGGCTTAAAATAGCAGTTATTTATCATAAATCAGGCTCTATTTATGCTGATATAACCAAACTTTAGAAAAATATTTTAGCAGATGGTTTTAGTTAGGGTAAATATGGCAGAACACACACATTTAATCTTGCCTCTTCCCGAACAATCCCCTGAAACAAAAGAAGTTTTAATTTTATTTTTTAAGATTTTATTTTTATTTTTTAAAAGATTTTATTTATTTATTTGAAAGAGAGAGAGAGAGAGAGAACACAAGCAGGGAGGAGGGGCAGAGGGAGACGGAGAAGCAGACCCCCCCACTGAACAGGGAGCTGGATACGGGGCTCGATCCCAGGACTCTGGTATCATGACCTGAGTCAAAGGCAGACACTTAACCAATGGAGCCACCCACGCCTCAAGATTTTATTTTTCAAGTAATCTCTACACCCAACATGGGGTTCCAGCTCACAACCCTGAGATCAAGAGTCACACATTCCACTGACCGAGCCAGCCAGGTGCCCCAAGAATTTTTTAAAGGACATAACTTCACAAGGATAGCAGGAAAAGGAGACAATGGCAACATTTTGGAAGCCAGAAAGCAGATGGGCCAGTGTTAACCAACTTATCCAACCTGAGAAGGCTGTACCTCAGATCATTCATGATAAAGCTGAGAACTCAGCCCATGGACACTGCAGAATCCTCACAAGAGGCAATAACAGCAGAAGTTCTAGAACTGTGCAGGTGGTGGTGGTGGTGGTGGGGAGTATAGCTAAAATAATGAGGACTAGGTGAAAAGCTGTCAGGAGAAGCAGTTAGGTCCCTAGGTCCTTGTCAGCCAAAGTGTGATCCTACCTTGGACCAGCAGCAGCACCGCCATTACCTGAAGCTTAATCTCAGGCTCCGTCTTGGACCTACTGAATCAGAGCCTACATTTTAATTAGATCCTCAGGTGATTTCTATGTGCATTAAAATTTGACTGCCTCAGGTCATTCCTCCACTCCAAGCCACTAGGAGATAGGATATTAGCCCTCCCACGTGAGATGTCCAGACCTTTATTCTCCAGAAATGGTGAAATGGAGGGTCTCTGGACTGGAAGGCACCTGACATATTTGGGGACAAGAAAACAGGGAATAAGTGACTGAATGCTCACTGATCACTGAATGAAGAGACTCAGAGCCTTCTCCCCAACTCAACTCCAAGAAGGCTGGCAGCTGTACCCTTATTATGCAACAGAATACTGCTGTACTCTTCTCTCAATAATCTGACCCGCTCAAAAGAAAATACCTAAGAGTACTAACCACAGGGATTCCCTAACATGCCACCCAGATCATCCTACAGTGAGGTTTAAGGATTACAAGCCTCACCCATGTGCTCAAGGCTTCTCATCAGCTTTTCAATCCAAGCCCTCTAATCATGAGCAGATAATCAAAATAAAAAACAAAACAAAATAGAAAAGCCTCTTACATTAGAGACCAGAACACATAGAAAAAAAGCAACTTGGACGAGACAGATATTAGTTGGGAAGATGAAAACTTCAAAAGCTCATTATCTTTAGATATAAGATGTTGTAACCATGAAACAAAAATAAAATTCTAGGAAAAAGAATATTCAGAGACCATAAAAAGCATTCTCAAAAGGTAAAAACACCATACAAACTGCAAAACTCAATAGAAGGGTTAGATGACAATGTTGATAAAATCTCTAACAGTTAAACAAAAAGAATAGAGGGGAAAAAAAGAAAATGAGAGGTCTACACTAGGAAATTCAACTGCTAGAAGTTGAACATTCAACTACTAGAAGCTCTGGCAAGACAGAATAGTGGGGTGGAAGAAGGGGCAAGCAGGAAAGGAAATGATGACTGAGATCAAGAAAAATGTCATGAGTGACACCAGTTTCCAAATTGAAAGGGTCCAATTAGAACATAGCACAATAGATGAAAACAGACCCATGGCACAAGGCTGTAAGTTCAAAGAACACTGAGAATAAAGAAGATTCCACAAGCTTGGGGGCAAGTGGGGAGTTGGGTACATAAGTCACATGCTAAAGGATCAAGAATTACAGTGGATTCAGATATATCAACAACACTAAAAGACAATGGAAGAATGTCTTTTAAAATCTGAAGGAAAAATGACTCCCAGCTTAGAATTCTTTTTTTTTTTTTTTTTAATTTATTTATTCACGAGAGACAGAGGGAGAGAGAGAGAGAAGCAGGCTCCCAGGGAGCAGGGAGCCCGATGCGGGACTCGATCCCAGGACCCTGGGATCATGACCTGAGCCGAAGGCAGACGCTTAACCATCTGAGCCACCCAGGCGCCCCCCAGCTTAGAATTCTATATCTAGCCAAACCATCAGTCAAGAATTGAGATACTCTTTTTTTTTTCTTTTTTAAGATTTATTTATTTTTAGAGAGAGAGAGAGCATGCACGAGCAGGAGGGCCAGAGGGAGAGGGAGAGAGATTCTCAAGCAGACTCCATGCTAAGCAAGGAGCCCAAAGCCAGGCTCGATCTCATGACCCTGAGATCATGACCTAAAGTGAAATCAAGAGTGAGATACTTTACTCACTGTGCCACTCAGGCACCCCAAGGATTGAGAGACTCTTAAGAATGTACTGAAGGATATAATCTACAAAGATAAAATGGTAGAAGAAGAAAGAGGAAACAAGATACCAGAGGCTGGAGATCATCTTAGAGGAGAAGTACAAAATATCTCCAGGAAGATGGTGAGGGCTCAGTATGATGGATGTGCACATCATCTCTGAGATCATACTGTCATTTTACTATCTTATTAACTGAGAACAAAATGCCCGAGTGACCCTGCCCTCAGTTCTTATCTCTACGTGCTTTGTCCTAACTGCGTCTCTGTTCCTTTTTAACACAGTACCTATACATTTTTTTAAGATTTTATTTATTTGAGAGAGAGAGAGCCTTTGAGAGAGCATGAGGAGAGGGGAGGGGCGGAGGGAGAGGGAGAAGCAGACTCCCCGCTGAGCAGGGAGCTCCATGTGGGGCTTGATCTCAGGCCCCTGGGATCATGACCTGAGCTGAAGGCAGACTGAGCCACCCAGGTGCCCTATTCCATAATTAAAATTTAAAAGAGCCATATGAGGTTGTAACTTTTTACAACATCATTCAGTTTTGTGGTATTATCAATAGTATTTATGCCTAGACTTTCAAGGACTTTCAACTAGTGAGCTCCTGAAAGGCAGTATTCAAAAGAATATACTTACTCATTCTACTTCAGTATCACTCATGATGTTAAGCAAAGAACTATTCAATATATACATACATAAATACAATGAAAGTGAATGCTGCATTTTTTTGTCCCCCTGTGCAACATTCTATGAAAGCTATTCCAAAGCCAGGCACACCTGCAATTTGGGACCTTAGGAATTTAGGATTGGCTCACAGCTTGGGTCCCAACAGAGGTCTATTCCGAATGCAAAGCATCTGAAAAGAGTTTGCAAAAGAAACCTTCTTTTAGCATTTTTCATATAGTAATGTGCTTATTATTTTTTTATTTTTATTTTTTTTAAAGATTTTATTTATTTCACAGAGAGACACAGCGAGAGAGGGAACACAAGCAGGGGGGTAGGAGAGGGAGAAGCAGGCCTCCCGCCAAGCAGGGAGCCCGATGCAGGGCTCGATCCCAGGACCCTGGGAACATGACCTGAGCCGAAGGCAGACGCTTAATGACTGAGCCACACAGGCGCCCCAATACTAACGTGTTTAATAAAGCAAAGAGATGTAGAGAAATTAGCTGGAACATAATATCAAATATAGAAATCATTTAGTAACCACAGTTGGAGAAGAGATACAGTATCAATCACATAAAAACACCTTTGACCATAGTGGCATTTGAGAAACATATTCAAATGAGAACAAGTTGCCAGATAGCAGATTTCTTTCCTTTTTTTTTTTTTTAAGATTTTATTTATTTATTTGACAAGGAGAGAGAAAGAGAGAGAGAGAGCACAAACAGGGGGAGCAGCAAAGGGAGAGGGAGAAGCAGGCTCCCCGCCCAACACGGGGCTCAATCCCAGGACCCTGAGCTGAAGGCAGACACTTAACCAACTGAGCAACCCAGGCGCCCTGTAGATTTCAATACTGTATTCTCATATAGTTTCTAGTTTTGGGGCCAGTCTTGCTTGTTTGTTTGTTTTTTAAAAAAAGTCTTATAAGAATCTTTTGGAAAGACTTTCAAATCTTTTCACCCACCCTCATGTAAAGGCTTTCTCTACAACACTAAACCTGACCACTTTCTGTCATAACTTTCTCTCACCAAGATTAGTATCAGAAGGTTCTGGGAAAAGAAGGGGAACTGGCAAGGTACTGCCATCTCGGCTGCTTGAGGGGGGCAGTGGCCCCACTGTGGTCCTGTGGAAAGGGCTGTTGCTGTGGGCTCCAGGGCTCTCTGAAGAAGCTGGGCAATGGCACCACTAGCTACTGGCAACTAGTGAATCTGTCTTGTGGATGTAGGCATACCCCCTCTAGAACTGTCTAGAAAAAAAACCAGCCACAACAAAGCCTTACTCTTGGTTTATTTTATTTTATTTTATTTTGTTTGTTTTTTAAAGATTTTTGTTTTTAAGATTTTATTTGACAGAGAGAGACACAGCGAGAGGGACCACAAGCAGGGGGAGTACGAGAGGGAGAAGCAGGCTCCCCGCTAAGCAGGGAGCCCGATGCGGGGCTCGATCCCAGGACCCTGGCATCATGACCTGAGCCGAAGGCAGACGCTTAATGACTGAGCCACCCAGGTGCCCTCTTGGTTCATTTTAAAGACTTCTAAAACCCCATGGGTTGCTCACTTTTTAAACTGTTCACATTTAATAGAACAATTCTAAAATTGTTTAAAATTAAAGTTCACAGAGAAAAAAAGCTGTCAGATACTTTATTGTCCACATGTATATATATTTGTTTTCTTAGTGTCTCATACTCAGTTCCTTACTGGAACAATCCCCTTGTCTTTATGCCTTTACTCTCTTTCAATTCTTTTATCATGATCATCCATTTGCACATCAAAAAATGCTGAAACTGAAGCTCTATTTATCTACTCTTCATAGAGCTAAGCCCTACCTGTGACGAAGATCACTTCTCTAGCCTACAGTTATCCTAGTTCAGGAATGTTCTTGCTTCGTGTCTCATTCTGTGAAACATCCTCACTGAGTACCCACTGCTGATACTGTGTTAACATTCAGTCAGACCCTTTGTTATAATATAGCATATAAATAACCCCCACATTCAGTTACACCTGCCAAATAGATAGCAGTTCAACTGGAGAAAGTTCAGGACTCAGACCCACATTTCCATCCTGATTCCCCTATTTACAAGCTGTGTACCACAGTCAGACCTCTCAGCCTCTCAGTCTTGGGTCCCTCCTCTGTAACGTGACAAGGATCTAACCTTCATTCAAGGTGGGGAGGACGCGGGATGAGGTGATGAAATCAGATGTCTAGAAAAACACTTTCCTATTGTGCCTCACTAGGCAGTGTATTCTTTTCAAAAATTTTATCTCAGAATTTAGCCTTCTTTTATTTTTATCATGTCTCTAATTCACAGGCTACTTAAATAACATAAAATATTTAAAAATTTTTTAAAGATCTGTAAATAATGCTTTGTAAACATAAATGGAATCTATTAAGTGAATATGGAAAAAAGATAGCCTTAAATGTATTTTCCTTATAATTTCCAAATACAATAGTTTCAGCATATTATAGATTAATTATTAAGCAGCTGGACAAATTGCTTTTTATTTTAAAATTAGAATGTCTTTAACATCACTTATGATTCATCATGGCATATTTACTATACTCTTTTAGTGCCTCTCTCTACTCCTGAGACCTCACTGAAATTACAGTTTAGTTACTTAAAAATTAAAAAAAAGCATATACTCTGAAGAACAAAAACTTGCAGGACAGATGCATCATCAGATGAGTGATTTCAGACAAGCTTTGGAAACAGAGTGGGGATGGCGGTGTGGTAAACTGCCTTAGCATAGCAGAGGCTGTACCATAAAGCTCCCAGGAGGTGGCCCCATGACAGGGGAGCCAGCTGACCCACAGGCCCTGGGAAGTTTAGTGCTGAGAGGCCCCACGTAGCACAGAAAGTGGCAATGGGGTGCAGGGCTGACAGCGAGGGTGGTTCAATGTCTCTGGACAAATCTACTGGACCCCCAGGTACTCTTCCCCACCCCAAGTAGACAACCACTATCCTAGGCAAGAAAACAAGATTTATGCTCTGAACAGATCCATCAGAAAGGCTAAAAATAGGTGATAAAGTGAGAGTTTACAGGCTGAATGGTGGAATTCCCAGACCTCTGCCCTGCTAGCAGGAGACTAGAAGCCAGGGAAAAAGAAGGAAAAAAGCACTGGGTCTTAGAATTATGAGCCCTGTTAAAAATCTCTGTTGATAAATGAAGCAATTCAAATAACTACATTCGCCCCTCCAGACACCCACTCTTGAATGGAAATAGAAAGTTACCTGAAAACGTTATTCAAAATTTCATACTTCACTTATGTCTTTTCTCTCCCTGGATGAGGTTTTTTTTTTTTTTTTTTTGTCAGCCAGCTGTCAGTTCCTACTGAAGGAAATCAAAGCTATTCAGAGTTACATAAATACCAATAATTTGTTCCACACATCTCTCCCATTCGGAGTCTAGTTTTTTAATTCCTTGTTAAGACATCCCTACAGTGTTTGTTCAGTTAATTATATTTCAGTGATTATGAGTAAAAGCGTCTGGAGTGGATCCCATGCACTGCAGTCCTGTGTATACAGGCCAAGGCTTGCCCTGCAAGGATGCTGGGGTTGAGAGGGGCACAGCACTCACCTGATCCAGCCTTCCCCCACCCCATCCCAGTCCACGGCAGCTGAGGAGGCCTAGGAAGGAAGGGTGGGAGAACTCCCAGTCACTCCTCTTATTCGCCTGCTCACCAGGACTTAATTAGATCTTCCTGTGTCCTTTCTCTTGTTTCTCTAATGTTTCCTTGCTTCTTGGATACCAGCTTCCCACAGAGTAGGGTTCTGTTTTGAGTACCTGATTTGAGTGGCATCAACAATGGTAGTGCCACATGGGCTGAGGTATTTTAAAAGCCTTCTTGGAGATGACAGGCTTGGCCTTCCCTGTGGCTCTTTCTCTTCAAGCCACCCCATTTTCCTTGCATGCAGAGAGAAATGTTATTTTCCTTTGAGATTCGTACTCCACCACCAAATAGGATTGGTGTTCCCTCCCATAAAGGGCCCTGGTGGGAGAGGGCAGCAAGGGGGGTGGAAATTAACAAATGGGTTTCAAGCTGGAAATTCAGCCCCTCTCTCTTGCCCCAAGGTCGTCCTGTCTTTGTGCTGCCCACAAGGGGACCAGAGCATGCTCAGAAGGGGCAGCAGGCTATATGTATCAGAGACTGGGGCTCTGTTTATTCCCAAGTTACCAACTCTTGGGAAACTGATCCTCTGAGATTCCGTTTCCTCATCCTAAAATGGGGATAATATCTACAGAAGATGATTGTGAGAATTTTAGAAGATCCTAATATACTTGCCATTTAGGAATTAAATAAATGTCAGTTTCTAAACATGCATCACTACATATGAATCCTGGGCTGATGAGGTCTGACAATGGAGGCCAAAGTGCCTACACCGATGGGTTTTCCAGCTTCTGTGGGCATAATCACACAGAGAGCTTCTTAAAAGTAAGATTTCAGGCTCCACTCCCACATAGTCAATAGGGGAGGCTTCCTATGCAGACTTGGAGAAAATCTGTGACAAACTCATCCTTCCTCATTCTAGTCTCGCTTCCTACTTGCTGTCAACCCCTGCCTCAGGCTCTTACCAGGCTGGCTGTCTACATCGTCACTTCTAGGGTGTCTGCTGCTCAACTCTCCCGGAGGAGCTAAGGGCAGAGATGACTGCCATGGCCTAGAGAGGGATGAAGGAGCCCACAGATCTGGAGAAGAGTACAGACTTGAGTTAGAATGGGCCAGGCACTGGAGGTTTGCAGTCCCACCCTTCCCAGACAGGTCTGAAAAAAATCCAGAGGTACAGTGGGCAGCCCAAGGCCAGGATGTGGGGGATAGTGGCACTTAGAATTGAAGCAAAACGTGTGTCTTCTTGCCATGCAAGCGAAGGGCCAAAGCCAGAACAAAAGATGTGCCAGAGATTGTCCCAGGAAATGTAATGACTTGCCAGGAAAGTGTTCTTCTCTGGCACCAGCTTGGAAGAAATATTTCGAAACTGCCCAAGGGAAGGAGTGAGTAGCTGGTAAGGTTTGCTATGTTTCCCCACACAAAGCCAAAAAAGGGCTGGTGTCTTTTAGTTACTTGTATGTCCCCTAGGCCTCTGGGTTGGGTCCCCCGGCGGCTACACCCCCACCTCTCTCAGCAGACACCCCTCCCAGCACACACACAGACACACAAACCTATACCTCCAAGTCTCAGGGAACCAAGGTGATAGGATTTCCAAGCCGTTGAGGATTCTGGCAGTGTCTCCACAGTCCCCGCTGGCTCCGGGAACCAAGCTGGGTGCCTCAGTTTTTCCTGAGAGCGAGAGCGAGCGAGCCCGTGGTGCTGTCGGAGAAGGGCAAAGGAAGGTGACTGGGGCGACAGCGCCGGGGCACCGATGGGGGCGGGGTGTGCGTTCTGTCGCCTCGTCTCTGAGACAAGACAGGCAGCCGGCGAGCTGAGGCGATCGCCATCCACGTGAAAGGGGTTCTGCCCAGAGCCGCAGCGGAGCCGTCCCCACACCGCCAGCCCAGAGAACACGGCCCTCCCTTGGGAAATGGGCGCGTCCGAGGGGAGCAGCCATTGCCGCCATTCCCGGGCAGGGGCAGGGGCACCTCTGGACCCCGGACCTCCTTTAAGGGGGCTCGGGGTCCGGGTGCCAAGGCGGTGCGCGCCCGAGAGACGCCGGGACCGGGCTGCCCGCCCCCGTGTGGCTCCCATTTGTCCAGCCAGTGACCGCAAACGGCTCCGCAGCCCCCAGCCCGCCTCCCGAGCCCAGCCAGTACCTCCCGCCTCCCGGCGGCCGGAGGCACCTGCGGAGACGCGCGCTAGTCGGACCCCCAGACCCGCGCGCTCCTGCGGCCTCGCGCGCGCCGTTCCCGCTGCGGCGCTAACCCGCGCCCGCGAGCCCCTGCCCGCATGCTCCCCGACATCCCGCAGTCGCGGGGCTGCCCCTATCCACTCTCCCGCGCTGCAAGGCCGAGCAGGAGATGAAACACTATCCCCGCGGGGTTGTAAGCCCCAGCCGCTGCAAAGCCCGAGCCGAGAACAGACAGGGATTGCGGGAGACGCGAGAGTAGGCTCGGGAGGAGTCTGGACAGGCCCCTGTCCCCCAGCAGCCCTCAGTTGACGGCGGGTCTCGGTCCCCGCTCAGGACACCGCAGTGTCAGGATGCGCGGGAGGTGCGGGCTCCCAGGGCCTGAGCGTACCTGCCGGGGCGCACGGAGGCCGCGGGGCCCCGGGCAGCACCCTCTATAACCTCCTCCCGGCAGCCAACACGGCGAACCAAAGTTTCTCCACGTGCAGCTTGCAGAGACGCCGTCGCACACGAACCTGGGACGCGCCGTCAAGTCGGCGTCGGCGCCTCCCACCCACGGGTAGGCTCGGACCCTCCGCGCCAGTCTCCAGGGTGCCGTCCGGGCTGGCTTGTCTTCGGGGGCTCCTCGGTGGTTGGAGTCGCGGATCCCGGTAGGTGCTGCCCTGTCCCCGCCCCTGCTCGGCCCAGAGAGGCGGGCGGCGGGCCCGGAGCCGCAGAGCGTCGAAGCCGGGGCCGGGAGGCGCGCACCTCGCCAGACGCCCGGGCGGTGCGGCGTTTCTGCTGGGAGTGACGCGCTGGTTCCCAGCTGCTCGGCAGGTGGGGGCGGCGGGGCCAAAGTCTGTTCGGACCCTAGGACCTTCAAAGGCTGTCTCTGAAGCTCCGCCCAGTGTCCCCACAAGTAGCCCCCCGCCCACAACCACACACACCCCTCACCGCAGCCGCGGCGCTTTGGCGGGGTCGGCTTTGCCCAGAGCAGGGACGATAGGGTCTTCTCCATTGTCCCGAGACCGCCACCCCTACATCCCGGCTTCTGGTTTCCCCTGGCCATACCTGCATCTCTCCCTCCAGTTCATAATCGACCAGACTGGTCCATGTGTCTGTCTCCCACGGCTCCTTCTTCCTCCTTCTCGTCCCTCTACCCGCTTTAGGTAGAGCCTGAGTCTCCCTTCAGGTTGGGGTGTTGGTGGGAGCAACCGTTCTTGTTTTTCTTTTGAGTTTATAACTTTATTACACTATTTTTTAAACTTTATGACACTATTATTAAAACATTAACACTTCGAAATTTAACAAAATGTCTATTTTATGTGTTAAACTGTGCTGCAGTGGTTTTAACTCTTCATTTATCAGGGGTCGTCTGGGTGGAGAAAAGACTATTACCATGTTTTTGTTGTTGTTCGGTTAATGTCAATCAAAACTAGTTTGTAGTTTTGAGTCCTCAAAGGGGGAAAGTAAACTTATCTCTGGGCAAGCTTCTTTTATTTAGGAAAATAACCCGCTGAAATGGGCCCTTTGGTAAAAATAGGTAAAGCAAATTCACAGGATATTTTAACCCAGAGTTGGGCTCTAAGGGAGTTGGAATCCTGGGTCTGGATTACCGTGTACCCCCACCCATTTTTGAGGGGAGATTGGAGGGTCCCAAGGAGGCAAATTTGGATGAAGGCATAGGTCTCCTTTCCTCCATTAAAAAAAGTTTTTATTTATGTATAGTACATATTAAGAGGTGCCCATTTCACAGGTTCAATGATACTGTGCAAAATGAAGCATCTTTAAGATCAAGGGACAGAACATTAGCAGCTCTCCAGAAGACTCCCTCATATCCTCCCTTTGGAGGGGGGGGTAGGGTAGTGGCTTCACCCAGCATAGATTTTTTGCTTATATTTGTACTTTATAACTGTCAAATCGTACCGAATTTACTCTGTTGTCTGACTTCCTTCACTTGACATTATATTTAAGAGATGCAAACTGCCTATGGTCATAGTGGTCATAGTTTGTTCTTTTTTTTCTTTTTCCTGTGTAGAATTCTGCTGTGTGAATTTACCTAAATTTATTCATTATACTACTGATAGACATTTGGGTAATTCTCAGGTTTGAGACATTATAAATAATGCTGCTAGGAACATTATAGTAGATGTCTTTGGTGAACGTATATACACATTTTTGTTGGGTACATACCTATGAAACATACATATATCCATATATGTTCAAATTCTGCAGATATGGCAAAATAGTTTTTCCAAAGCAGATGATCTAATTTTCACTCTATTAATTTCCTTTTGCTACTTGTAACAAATTACCATAAACTTAGTGACTTAAAAGAACACAAATGTATTCTTTTAGAGTTTTGGAGGTCAGATGTCCCAATTGTTGGCTTTTCCAGTTTCTAGAGGCTGACTATCTTTTTTGGCTTGTGGCCCCTTACTCTGACTGCCATTCTCAAGCTCTCTCTCTCAACTCTGTTGCTGTTGTCACATGTCTTTTTCTCCCTCTGCTTCC